TACTCTTTATTCTCTGAAGCCATCTAGAGACAGCTTTAAATCAACATAAATGCAGAACTACCCTACTACTAACTGGAAAAACTGAAATGCAAATCACAACTTAGCTGCCAGTCTATATGGGGTTACCGAGTAGCACAGTTTTAAAGGACTGTGATTTCTGTTTTTTTCCAAGTCACCCTTTTGTCCAAGTCATTCTTGGGAGAGTTTTTTAGTTCAGGAGGGCTCCCCTGCTCCTCACCTGGTGAAGGGGCCGAGCCCGCAGGGTGCTCCCCACAGCCCGGAGCGATGCCTGCAGGGCTGCAGGGAGGACTGGTTGGCCCTGCTGGGCAGCACGGGATGGGGTCTGGTGCTCTGGCAAGGGGGTCTCACTGCCACCTAACAGAAATGTCCATTAGTCACGTGAAACGGAGGTGGAGGTTAGGGAGGGTAGTAAATGCCGTCCTGAGCACTCCTGCAGTCTGTCCTTGGATACCACAGACCACGGAGGCTCTAAAGCAGGCTACGGGTTCATACGCATCGCAGCCGGCAAACAAACGTGCCCACAGCATCCAGGGTCCCTTCACCATTACCAGCCTGTGCAGGCACTGGTGGAACTAGCTGGGAAGGTTTTTGGTAATTGTCCATTACTTACGCCCTCGTCCCCTCTGCAGAAAAGGCAGAGCACATCTCTGGCCTTAGCTCTGCTTAACGTTTACGTGTTTTTAGGTACATCAGCTCCTGGAAGGAAGAAGATTTCTTAGGAAGACAGACAGACTAGATAAACTAGATGCACATGGACAAAACCTGCTCAGCATGACCCTTCCTTGCCAGGGTATCAGTTCCTTCTCCGATGTCAGAATTTTAAAGAGCTTTGGAAAGATCCCTACCACAGCTCGATGGAAATGCAGACAGGTGAATGTGCCTTCGCTGCTGCTCTCTACAACATACAGAGAGGCAGCACGGAAAACTTTTTAAAATAAAACTGATAATGTGAAAGATCAGCCTGGCAGCTGATGCACCCTTAGATCTGAATGTGCGTGACTGCTGCAGAACAAGGATGGAGAGTTTTGCTTGTCCATATTCATGGCTTTGGACCCGTGGAGCTGCCGGGCCCTGCGCCTCCGCCAGGACGGGCTGGGTGATCACAACCCGTTGCTCTGGCAAAGGCAGATCAGCCACGACAGCTCTAAGAAGACTTTGCAAGTGGATTCACCTCTGCAATAATCAAGGAGAATATGCAATGAAGTATAAAAAACGAGGTTACTTGGAATCCAACTGCTTTAATGCGTGTTCCAAAGTTACCCTGACAGGCAGAGAGGTCAGGTGCCTCCTTCTCTTCACATTAACTCTGCTTTCACTGAAACAGCTGCCACTTGTTCAACACCAGATTCTGACCTGTAACTCTTAAGAAATCCATTTTTTCTTTGCAAATAGACGAGCTTAATTTACCCCTCCACATAAACCCCAAAGTTACCACTGATGTGCCCAGAAATCTCCGGCATTTTATGGGCAATTTGATACATTAAAGAACCAACTTGAACACGCTTCCCAGAGAATGGTCGGAATGGTTTGGGTTGGAAGGAAGCTTTCAAGGTCATCAAGTCCCCCCTGCAGAGAGCAGGGACATCTTCAACGAGATCAGGAGAGAAACACGAAATGCCGATCTTACCCATGCCCGATTATCACGGTGTAAATATAAATATTTGTAATTTAGATTTGTAACATCTATTTTTTAAAAAAATAGTTAACATCATACAGGCATTTCAAACAAAGATGGTTTAAAAAAAAATCACAGGAGAAATTTTACCTTTTTTTTGAGAAGTCTCTGCTTCCAAAATTCAACACTTTAAAGGATCCCAGAATTTGGGAATCACCAACTTAAAAAACAAACTAGTGCTGATGTCCACAGTTCTACTGATATGAGAGAGATATGGGAAAGAAATAGAAGTCAAGCAAGTTTCTCAGGCAAAGTGACCTGGCCCAACTCAAAATCCATCCCTCCTCACCCAGGGAAAAAGCTGTGCCATAGCCAGGAGAAGCTCCCTACCCTCTTCTCCAGAAGAAGTTCACAGTGTGCGTCTTGCTGAGGTGGTGGGGGTGGCAGTACTTCTGCTAGCTGCTGCTTCCCCATCAAGAGCAGTCAAAATCTCAGCTATTTCTAGGACATTCAAGTTCAGCATATGGCTCCAATCTTAGTATCAATTGGTAGATCTTTGAAAAAAAAGTCACCGAGTATTCATACCCCATTTCTTTTTTGGGGACAGTCATTTATTCTTTCCTGGAAGAAATCAGAGATAATCTAGAGCATATGAGTTTAACTTGAGTCCAAATGCCAAAAAGAAACCTCTACTGCATTTCTGTCCTGCTGCTGGGGGTCTGTGATCACTGCCTGTACAGGAGTAAGCTCTGTGTTAACGAAAGAAACAGTATCTTAACGTACTGTCAAGCAAGGGAAACTTTAAGCCTGAATTCCTTAAATAAAGGTCTTAATATTTTAGAATATAAATTATTCTTTGTATTCTTTTCTATTCTTGTATTATTTGTATTTTTAGTTTCCAAATATTTACACAACTGAGAGCTCTTGTTCATATTCCTTCAAAAACAGACATACATCAGGAAAATGATATTTGCCATATAACTCTTAATTTTATAAACTTTGGCATTATTTATATTACATAATTTAATGAAATGCACGTTGGAGGTCTTAATCTTTGGAGACATTTCAGTATTAAGAGGCAAAAAGTCACATCTGAGGCTGTATCTCAGGACACTCGAGCTGACTTCTGGTCTTTGGTACTCGGAAAGAAGTCAGAGGTTTCCGATCTGAAATCTCACAGTGCTCGTGATTCTGAGGGCAAGGTAAAACTGAATGTGAAAAAGATGCTGAACCATTGCAAATTCAGTGATTTCAGTAAAAGCAGAGCGGGCACAGGACAGCACAGAGGTGAGCCCTGCTCTGCAAGAGCAAGGAGTAAGGAGGAGAGCGCATCAGTGTCCCCACAGGGATGTGGTACAGACCGAGGTCACTGTCAGGGGAACAGGAACCGTCACTTGCATGTGGGTCTGCTCCTGGCGGGGTTAGAGACCGCATTGCTGATAGCTACGGCCCAAATACAGGATGTCCGTATCGCCTGGGGGTTATACCCTATACTTTACTTACATTCTTCAGCCATCAGTCAACTCTTCTCCATCATAGCTATAAAATATTGCAGTTCCTCACAGAAAAGAAAAACAAATAAAGGTCGTCTTGCTGCATTTTCCTTTAGTATTTATCTGGGAAAAGTTTCACCAGAATAGCCTTGTGGGGCACTAGGAAATTGCTCCTGGTTTACAGGACTGCTGACCGAACTGGAGACTGCTAAATCTTCTCAAGAAAGTTGGTGCAGCCTGTCAGGGTCACGAGATCACCCTGTCAGGGTCATGTCATCACTCTGTCTCTGCAGCAGACACTGAAAACAATCTCATAATAATCAAAACATTAATTACCTGTGTTCCAAGGGACACACAACATTACGAATTTGGACATCTCTGTCCCTTTTCCTTTTCTTACATGCTACTAACGTGGTCACTAACCAATCCAGACAGTTTAACTTTTGGCAGTTTCTACATCTCAACAGCTGCACTGGTTTTTACTCTAAAGACGAAAGCACTTGTCCCTCTGCGGTGGGCGGCTGCCTCCTGCTCCGCGTGGCTCCCCGGCCAGGCTACGGCACCGCCCTTCCTCTGCCATCACTATATTCTGTGACTGAAATCCTTTCTCTTGCAAGAGACTACCGATTCCTGTGCTCCTCTAATTGCTATGTAATAAAAAGGAAAACAACCCACCACTTTATTAATAAAGTTTACTGCCGTTGTAGCTATTTCTTTTAAATGTCATGTTTGAACTTTGCTACTTAAAATATCAAAATCCTGTTTGATGTTATGATTTGGAAGTGAAAAGACTAAAACCTGAAAACTGGGTGTCATAGTTGTTTCCATGTGAGCAGACATCAAAACAAAGGAAGCAAAATCTCGCTATGAATTTACAGTAATAATGCAGTACAAAAAGAAAGAGGTTTGCATCACATCATTTTCAGCAAGATAAAGAACTATATTATCCTAGGAATCATTTACAAATATAATTTAGATAAAATCTTGTTTTCTTTGAGGAAATCTAACAGTCCAGCATCTAGACCACAAAAAGGGACCATGTGTCAGACAATACAGATAATGGGATTATTGACATGTTGAGCTACTAAAATAACAATAAAAATGAAAAATCACAAATCTATACTACGTATCTGCTTTTTGTCCATCTGTTAAAGATGAGCATTTTAAAATTCATGCCAAGATAATAAATGACTTCATAAGCTCAATGTTTTCCCAAGTGAAAAGCAGTTTTTAGGGAAATTCCATTTTATTAATGCCATTTTCAAAACCATTTTTTATTCCAGGTCTGCTCCTTCAAGCTTTAATCTTATTTACTGCAGCTAGGACTCTGTATGTGTTCTTCTTTGGTGTTCAATGTTGAAATAATGTCCAAAACTAGACTCAAGGAAGCTGGGGATGAATTAGGAAGAAGAATCCAGATTCACTCCCTGCTTACATGAGCAGTAGACGTGAATTATCTGATTGAGCGTTTTGACTGAGCAGCATACCTAGCACATGCCTGGTGATAAGCACGTGCCATCGCCTCATGGTTTTTTCAGTTTATACCCAAAGCTGTAGGATCCTGATGCGTAAAGCTGGAATTGGCCACAGGGTGGTAAGTTCACTACTGCTGGAGCCTGGTCAGTGATACTCAGCCTTTGTAAAAGACAGACCTGAGCAGTCCCTTGGCCAGTGAACCTGCACCGTACCCTAGGGAGGGCGTTCACGCACTGCTATGAGTATCATTTCCATAAGCAAAGCGAAGGCAGGCCCGTACATCAGTGTAGAAGTCCCTACACCATGTAGCAGGCTACTGAGCTCTAACCTGGACATGAAGTAGAAGAGATCTGGGATGTGATCCTCCACTGATCTAAGCTGTCAGTACTGCGCTGACTACCTCAGCTGAGAGCGTGGCTAGGTGCCTGAAGAGTGTTCTGAACTGCTCCTTTTCCATGGATGCATCTGTTGATCTAAATGTGATTGTGCAAGAATTAGAACACCTCAGCTTTGGGTCATGGGTGTACTGAAGTTTTTTTCAGTGGTTAATGCTATGAAACGCACCCATACTCACCTACATTTCCTATTTCAAATGCTGGGATCATTCTACCGGGGGGTTTTAGGGTTATTTTGGATTGTTTTAAATAAATCCTATACAGAAGGAAAAAAATTAATCATGATATACACTTCTTTCATAATTCTGCTCCACAGAATTATGCTGAAGAGACACAGACTCTCTCTGTTCAGTTCAGAGAAAGTTCAATTTATTTAGTTAGCTGTTCTCCCAGTTCATTTGAGTGTAATGCTGCATGTGTGAATTTTCACACCAGACTACACTTGGAACTTCATAGGTCAGATATAACTTTTATTTATGTTACAGGTAAACGACTGAGTTCAGAGCCTCTTTCAGGGGGATTACAGTCTGTTTCCAAGGCTGGGAACAGATGTAATTTTAGGAAAGAACTGCATTGTGCGTTGACTCACATCCCTTCCGATCCACTGAGCTCAATGGACCACAGGGGTCAAGAACTAAAGCAAAATTCGCCCTACCATTTCATCTGTTTGAGTACAGCTTCTTGTGTGTCCTCTACATAATTAATTACCAGACCTCAGAGAAGATGTTGTCCCATTCACTGTAAAACAGGAGGGTCCATGGAGGAAAACAGCTGCATTAGAGAAACACACAAAGGACGTTAAGGCCACCTAGTTTGATGTGTTCGACACTTCCTTTCCCCCTGCAAACAACGACAGTTTCACCAGGATCTGAAGTGGTACTCTTAACAAATAATACACTAGTCTGTCATATGGTTAATATTAACGTCTCTCTATTCAAACATGCTGAAAACTGAATAGAACAGTTAACATATAACAGTCACACATCCTTTGCCGAGTACAAGATCTAACAGGAACTGAAGATATCCTCACCATTTCAGATCTTCATCTGTCATTCAGTCAAACATTTCATTCTCTTAAATACATCGCTCTTCCCCTTTCTGGGTCTCTTGGGGGTGCCGAGTGAACACATTCTCTCCATAAAGGCATTGCTTATGATACGGTTCTTCAACAGAAATCTTGCTGTGTGTTTCCAATACATTGCCAAAGCTGAATTTGCAGAGTTTGGTAGGATTTGGGGGCGAGAAGGTGAAAAGATTTAATTTTGAAACATCTATTTGGGCAGGATTCTGCACTTCACTGCAGAGAGATCATCTCTTGATTAAATTAATGGTGAACAATTAATTGTTGTGATTGCACTTTACAAATCACTGAGTCAGAGCTTTATATAGCAGCCAGTGTTTACATTACAGGTATAGTCACAGGGCTTACGGGCAGAGGCAAGCTCACCCTGCTCATGTCCTGAGCTGGTGGGATGCATCACGGCGTTGACAGAAGAGTCACAACCTGTAGGGATGCAAAGCCGAGCCCCACCTAACACACCTCGTCCTTCCGAGGGTTTATTTGGTGTGGGCTTGGGGCCATAGCCACCCCGGTCAGGTCAGCCCATGCACAGCGAGGCCGTGCCCAGCCACGAGGCACTGCAGCAACACCTCGGGGTTAGCCCGCTCCTGCGGCCATCCCGCCTCGCTGCTCCGTGCCCGTGAGGAAGGGAGGCTGCACGGGGCACGCTCCGCCCTGGGGCATAAAGCACAGTTTGCCCTCAAATATATTTCTACTGAAAACACACAGCAAAGATTACAGCCATAGAAAGTTATGTAAACAAGACAATTTCATCAACTTTATCTTAAAAAAAACCAAAACCAAAACTGCAAAAGAAACCCAAAATAAGACTTGCTGAATGAAGACTGTGAGTAGTAATTTTTTACTGCCTTAACAACAACAAAAAAAAAAAATGACATACACCTTCAGCATTTCTTTTCCAAATTTACTTGACAGAGGTTAAAATATTGCTTTATTCTGACTCAACATACAACAGCACTGTGTGATCGATTGTGCTATTCTGGGAAGCCTTGAGACTTGTGAACTGGAAAGTCTGGGGCACATTAATAAATTTAACAATTATTTTGCTGCAAAGGAATATTTTAATACATTCTGTATATACTGTAAATTTTTTTTTTTTAATCAATCTTCTGACATTAACCGGGGAAGGCTATTTAGCAGTTATTTATTATAGTTTATTTTCTTTTTCCCCACGAATAAGCAGATATTTTAATACTAATAAAACCAGTAATGTGTGTGTCACTGAACCCAATTAATTGCATTATTGGCATACTGTGTACAATTTATGGGGGGAAGAGGGACTCAAAAGCAAATGCAAAAAATGCTTATAAATGTGATTGGGATACGGCAACCAGGAAATGGCATTTCTTCTCTAAGGCCTCGATCCCCTGCAGGGAGCGATTTGGTGGAAAACATCTGCTCTTATATAGCCCCATGAGAACTGGATCTGTGCGTGCTTGTGGGTCTGCCCATGCCGAACCATCTGCAGGGCTGAAGCTTTAAAGTTCACAAGCCTGAGCCACAATTAATTAAAGTGACTGGAGAACTGAAAGTGGGAACAAATTAGGGCAGTGTGGACACTTATTGGCTGGATTTTGATCATATTGCATCTCCCTGACTCTTCTCTGAACAACCTATAATAAAAAATAAGTTAAAAAAACCACACACACACTCAGAAGTGCTCCTTGAGAGCTTACAAATGTCTTCAAAGTATAACAGTTTAGAAATGTTGAGGGGTCGGTAACAAACAACACAGTTTATGTTCCCACTTAAAAAATCCCAAACCAAAACCCCAAACCTGTTGTAACACACAGACTTTTGCACTTTTTCTTGTTCCTCCTCACTCTCTAGCAAGGCAGCTCTGATATAGGCAAAGCACAGAAGATGGAGCAGCTGCGGGCTCCTGACTGCTGCGTCTCTACGGACCCCAATCCTGCTCCACGCTTGGCCAAACCCAAAACTCCTAGAAGTTTTCACTGATTTTCTTGGGCTGACTGACACATTAAAGTAAAATAGAGAGTGAAGAATCTGGGTCAATTTAGGGATTTATTGTCATTCCCCAGAAGGTACCAGACCTCAGAAGCAGGTGTCTGTGTGCCTGTTTCCATGGACCTGGAACCAAAAGGAGAGGGGGAGAGGGGACCAGGTCTGTGCTGGGGTCACGGAACTTGCTTCCTAGGGTCTGAATCCCCGGCCAGCAGCTTTCCTGCAGCATTGCCCTGAAACCAGAAATGAATCTAAGAATGGTCGTGGCCTTTACTGAAAAAAGGATGCATAGCCTAAGCCTTCGGACAGCCAAACGGGACCACGGCAAAATGCTCTGGAACTGAAACTGTATGTGGAATCCTGCCTAGACAGCACCTGATGGACGTTTCATCCCTCCTGGAACTTCTCCCTTAAAAAAATATTTTGTTAAAAAACACTATGATATGAGGGCGGTTGACTATTTGGTTTCTTCTAAGTAGATGCTCTTAAATTAATGCATATAAATAATTTGTATTTCATTTCCTCCCTTCCTGTTTAGCAAAGCATCCGACGCACAGATCTCGCTTCCCCTCCCACAGCCCCACACGAAGTCACTGGGTCAATCCCGAGTCTCTCTGCGGTTGGGTTTGCGGGGGGGGGCGGGCGCCGGGCCCGGCCCTGCCCGGGGGGCTAAGGGGCAGGAAGGCCG